GGGTGGAGGGGCAGTGACAGGGGTTAGGGGGGTAGAAGGGCAGTGACAGGGGTTAGGGGGTAGAGGAGCAGTGACAGGGGTTGTGGGGTGGAGGTGTGGCAAGAATTTAGGGTGGAGGTTTCAGTAACAGAGGCAGGGGTAGAGGAGCGAGCTGACAGGGGTTGGGGTAGAGGGCAGTGACAGGGGATAGGGTAGAGGGGCAGTGAGGTTGGGGGTGGAGAGGGGCAGTGACAGGTGTGGGGGTGAAGAGGCAGTGAGTGGGGTAATGGGGGTGGAAGGTCCAGTGGCCGGAAGGAGTTGAGTAGGGCAGGAAGGCAGTGACAGCAGGAGTAGGGAGTGAGAGGTATTGGCAAGGGTTAGGGTAGAAGGGGCAGTTACGGGGCTGGGAAGTGGAGGGTCAGTAGGGGTTGAGGTGGAGGATCAGTGACAGGAGTTAGGGGTGGAGGTCAGTGACAGGGTGTAGAGGTGAAAGAAGGCAGTGAGAGAGGGAGTAATAGGGGTGGAGGTCAGCAGAGTTGAGGTAGAGGCAGTGACAGAGGATTAGGGGAGTAGAGGGGCAATGTAGGGTTAGGAGTAGAGGGCAGTGGCAAGCAGGGGTTAGGGGAGTGCAGAGGGGCAGTGACAGGGTTTGGGAGTAAGTGACAGGGGTAGGGGTGGAGGCATTGACAGGGAGTTAGAGTGAAGGGCAGTAGCGGTGTAGGGAGTGAAGAGAGCAGTGAGAGGGTAATGGGGGGTGGAGGTCAGTAGCCTTGAGGTATGGGGGTGGAGAGGGGCGTGACAGGGGTTGGGAGGTGGAAGTCAGTGACAGAGGTTAAGAGTGAAAGAGGCAGTGAGAGGGGCTATGGGGTGAAGGGGCAGTGACAGGGGTTGGGGTGGAGGGTCAGTGACAGGGGTTAGGGGTGGAGGGGCATTTACAGGGGTTAGGGGGGTGGAGGGTCAGTGACAGGTGTTAGTGGGGTGAAGAGTCAGTGAGGGGGTTAAGGGGGTGGAGGGGCAGTGACAGGGGTTAGGGTAGAGGGGCAGTGGCAGGGTATTGGAGTGGAGGGGCATTGACAGGGGGTAGAGGAGGGTAGGGGAAGTGACAGGGGGCAGAGGGGGGTTTAAATACCTTCCCTGGTGGTCCAGTGGGCGCCATCTCTCTTCAGTCTGCAGCTCTGCCGGGAGTGAGCTGCAGACAACATGGTGAGTATCGCAATCTCCAATCAGTCAGAGCGTTGCCGTGGTAACCCGCGGCAACGCTCTGACAGGCTGGAGATCACAAGACACTTCAGTCTGCAGCTCAATCCCGGCGGAGCTGCAGACTGAGGCTGGATCTCAGGGCAGAGTGACAGGAAGGGCCTCGCACCCGGCAGCATTGTGGACAAGCCGCCGGGCACCCTCCTGTGTCGGGTCCTCGGTCATAGACCAAGGAGCCTACATGTTAGTCTGCCCTAAGGCAGTGCAGCACGGAGGTGTGATTAGGGTGTGCCCAGGCACACTTGGCACACCCCGTGCGCACACCTATGGTCTGGGCACAGAGTTCGGAAGAGGTCTGTAGCAAAAGCCACGGTTTCCAGAATTCCCCTGATCCTTAGGTTATTCCGGCGGGACCAGTCTTTGTGATTTGCAAGTTTAGCATCTTGGGAGGACAGGCGCGTCTCCAATTGTTGGACCTAGTGATTAGAGAGTTGTGGGTGGTCGCTTATTGATCCATTTTTGGTTTCTAGGTGCGCTGTCCTGTCGCAGTTGTCACATATCTCTTGTTTCAGCTTGGGAATTGAGGATTGAAATTTGGCTACTAATTGCTTTGATTAGGCATCCAGCATCTGTTGTAGGATGGCTGGTGTTATGTGACCCTTGCCATCTTGTGAGGGAGGCAGGAGGGAGCATGAGTCCTGGCTGTCCCCTGACTCGTGGTCGCCATCTTGGAGGCCTACTTGGAGCGCCGGCTGTTTATTTTTACTTTTGGCCATGAAAAAAGATGCACGGTCTCCTTTCCTTTCCCCTTGTGGTGGTACATCATTCTCGGTACGAGTTTGCCTAATTATGCTGGTGGGAATCGAGTTGGGCGCTGAATCTTAATCCACCTGGCACAAAGCTCCTATTTCAGGCGGCCATCTTGATCGATGTTCGGCTTCGCCCCCCTATCCTTAGGCTTTTTAAGTGATAAAAAATAGGCAGCAGTACTTTAAAAGTTGGTAAACCTTTGCAATAAGCTTAGGGGACAGGAATACACGTCTTTAGCAGGATTAAAGTTGCACCAGAATACAATGTAGCAGTAATGCTCATGAATCTCTTGACAACCTTGTACATGATAAAGAGCTTAACAACGCCGAGCCCAGAGGTAATCAGCATAGGTGGGTTCCCCCTGCCGCAGGGCCCCCCCCACCCCCACCCGGCTCCCCAAAACCGCATCCAGGGATTAAAAGTATATTCCCATGGATTGTGTATGTAGAGACAAAAGGTAAAAAAGGAGGACTCCAATGGTTTTATAACATAATTGTACTTGCCAAGCTGGCAGAGAACAGAATACTCAAAAAGGTATCAGATGCTATGGGATATTATCTCAATGGATTTAATCTGGTATCTGTCACATCTGGTTCTGTCATCATCACATTACTTTAGATATGTGCATTTAGTTTCAAAAGAACAGCAGGTTGTAAAAAAATTGTAACTCTGAAGTGTCATAAAGACATTTGACAAACAAACTGGACAATGGAGTTCCATCAGTGGAATTAAAAAAGGGATGATTGATGGGGAAACCAATTATTGATGGTTAAGGGACATCCACTAAATGTTAATTTCATTCACAAATTAAGTGAGAGGTGACTAATAGAATGGGGGGGAAAGGAGCATTAAAAAAAATCTATGTTTATATATTCAAAAATAATTATTTATTAAATATATAATCTACAAATATAAATGTATTTCTGCTACTCCTTGTTTCCCTCAATTTGTTTCTTCTTCTCACTTGAAATGTTAATATTATGTATATATTTTGCAGTGCCCTGATTGGCTAATTTTTGGTTCATCTAAATCATTTTTCCAAATCATTTGCATGAACAAAAATCATCCAAGCCAAAACGACACATGGATGAGCTTAATTTTGTAACTCCTGTACAGAATATCCACAAAAGCTTAATTGAAAAGTTTTTGTTACCCAATAGTATTTTTACCTATTATAGTAATTCCTTTTGAGGGGATTGCAATAGATTTAGTAGAACTGTTATCTTAATCTGCTAGGGGGCACCAATATATTTTGTTTATACTAGATTATGCAACCTGCTACCCCGAAGGAATACCTTTATGAAACATTTCATTGAAAACATTGGAAAAGAGTTGATGATATTTAGCAGTGTAAGCATACCAAAAGAGATTCTTACATACCAAGGAACCCTTTTTATGTCAAACGTAATAAAGGAATTGTGTAAACTTTTCAAAAATTAAGCAGCTTAGAATGTTGGTTCATCACCTGCAATCTGATGGGCCTGTTGAAAGGTTTACACTGAAGTCCAAATTACACAAAATGATAGGCAAAGATTGGAATAATTTGGATTATAAATTTTTTTTTGCAATATCTCATGTTCTCTATTAGAGAAGTACTATAACCTTCCACATGGTTTTTACTTTTTGCGTTGTTGTATGGTAAACATGAAATTGGATGTTTCTAAAGAGACTTGGGGACGGTGAAACACTACTCTCTGCAGTGTAATAGAACACATTGCACAAAAGTAAGAGCATATGGAAGCCATGATGCTAGTAGTAAAGGAAAATGGGGAAAAAAAGCACAGAAGGCTCCGAAAGTCAGTTACAATAGTAATACCAGGGCAAGGGTCTATCAACCTGGAGACAGAGACAGATCTTTTACTGATTCCCACAGTTGAATTCAGATTCGTTGTAAGCTAGCAAGGACCATATGAAATAAATAAACAAGTCAATTAGGTAAATTACAGATTAAGACAACCAGGCAGGAA